GTCAAAGGCAGAGCATTCCTGACAAATATGTGTCAGAAAGAAAGCATGTATTATCTTGTTTCAAACTTTCCATAAACCCAAGTCACAGCCAAAAAAAAAGAACCTCATCAGTAATATTAAATGTATTTACCGTATTTTCCGCACTATAAGGCGCACCGGATTATAAGGCGCATAGAATAGAAGATACTGCAGTCAAATGTTTGACTGGGGTTGCGTTATGCATCCACTGTATGGAGCTGTGCTAAAGGGAATGTCAACAAAACAGTCAGATAAAGTCAAACTTTATTAAGCGTTCTGACAACTCCGTTCACTCCCATGGTAACGATGTTCAAACGTTAATGTGCATATTCACAATATCTCCCAGCCTTGTTCAGTTGTAAACACGTAAAAGAAACACAGTCTGATACCGCTAATTCAAACGTTAGTGCATAACTCAACATTGTTCAGTTACGTATAACACGTAAAGCTCACTTTTTCAGTTCATTCCCCGTCCACGAATCCCTCGAATTCTTCTTCTTCAGTGTCCGAATTGAACAGTTGGGCGAGTACGGCATCCAACATGCCCGGCTCCCTCTCGTCATTATCCGAGTCAGTGTCGCTGAGCGCCGTGTACAACCAGTATGGATCAACCAATTAACCAATTGATCCATATATAAGGCGCTCCGGATTATAAGGCGCACTGTCGTTTTTTGAGAAAATTAAAGGCTTTTAAGTGCGCCTTATAGTGCGGAAAATACGGTAATTCTAAACATCATCCTGAGCCTTCCTTGTGCATGCGGGTTGCCATGTCGCGGACACTGAAGCTTCAGTGTTTAGCCAGCTCTGCATCGGTCCTGAAACCTTTCCGCGCTCTAACCTCTCTCTAGTTTTCAAAAAGCATCTCCACTATATATCCTCGTTTCTGATGAAGGCGCTTGCGGAGGCTTCGTAGGTCAGAATCAGTTTTATCTGAACCAACTCCCCTACCGGCTTCCATCGCTGCAACACCTAGTGGTTTGCCGTTTTCCCGGCACATCGAGGGGCATCTCGTCCCCGTGGGGGTGCCTTAAAATCGTCTCCTTTCTATGGTGAAAACAAAAACAATTTGGCACTGGAATTTAAACTTAGAAGGAGGAAAAAGTGGCTGCTGCATTGTTGTCAGAGAAGCCAGCTCTTCATTATAGTATGTTTGCTTAATGTCTGATGATATAGTGAAGTCATTTTAGGATTTAATTCAGTAGAAATCATACAGATTGCTTCTACAAGTCTCCTGATAGTAATACTATTCTCTAACTTTCTACTTTCACACCAAAGACACAAAGACAAATTCATTGTATGGGTACACAAACTTGGCAATAAACTTGATTCTGATTTTTTTCTTTTTGCTGAATTGTTGTGAACAGAAATATTTGAGTAAAACTGAAACACTGTATCCTTCCGACTCATTCCCCCTGTTGATGGCAGAAGAACCACTCAGGGTTCAGTACAAGCAAAGGTATTTGAGGGAGAGGATGTGAAGGCAGGATTGGTATTCTCGCAGGCTCTCTGTGTGTGTGTGTGTGTGTGTGTGTGTGTGTGGCTTTGTTCCAGAGGGTGTGAAGAAGAAGAGTTGGACAGAGAGAGGGGGGTGAGGGGAGAGAGAGAGAGGGGGGCGGAGATTGGGCACTTTTCTGGTGAAGGTCAGCGGGTTAAGCCGATGGGGGATCCTTGGAGATGGGGCCCTGCCGAAAAGATGGTAATACCCGTAGCCATGATTCATCGCAAAGGCATCCATCACCCAGTGTGTGTGCGTGTGTGTGTTTACAATGACGTCATCCCATCAGTACCCCAGCCTGTCAGGGGCTGACAGGCGGGGGCTGTGGAGGAGCAGTGTTTTCATTTCAGCAGGCAGGAGTGATGGACTGCCTGGGAGGGGGCGGGGCTGCTCTTTGATTGGCAGGTGCCACGCTGCTCGCTGTGGTCATGGGAAGTGGATTTCTGTTGGCTGTGTCAATTCTGCGCCAACAGCTTGGCTCCTCGCGGAACACATTAGCTACTTCTGCTATTTCAAATTTATCTGTGTCCTGTTGGGGAGCTGAAGTTTCATTTTAATCACAGTTTTCTTTATATAGCCGTCCCCTGCTGCCGTCTCTCTCTCTCTCTCTCTCCCCGGTGCAGACCGAGGCAGGTTAATTGAAGGGAGCTGCTGTGGGAGATGGGGAGATGAGCTGTAACTATCAATATGAACCAGAGTCCATTTACAGACGCTCTACAGGCAGCAGGTGCTAAACATAGCTTTATATCACTGATGAATTTGCCTCCATTTTCGGCTCTAACCACACTTACCAGGCAAACCATCTGTATGCTACAATTACATTTTCTATGCTTGGACGAGATTAGCTCGCTTAAAGTTGCTCTAATAAATACTTATTAAAAGTCTAACTCTTCTACTAAAACAGTTTTTAAATGCTTTGGTGCTTTTTATGCTTTTACTCAGAGACAGGACAGTGGATGGAGTCAGAATTCAGGGAGAGAGAGAGAGAGAGGGGAACAACAAGCGAGAGGGGGGCCACAGGTCAGATTGGAACCTGTGCCGCCCACTTAGAGGACTACAGCCTCTGTTCATGGGGCGTTTGTACTAACCACTAGGCTACCGGTGCACCAGTTTAAAAATACTTACAAAATATCAAAGTCTGACGCCCTGTCCCTTTTTAATAAGCATAGCATAAAGATCTTGAATGTTTGCTAAATCTGCTTTAGCAAACAAGATCTGCTTATAAAGTGATTTGAAGTTCCGATGAGGAACGATTGCTTTTTGTTGATACTGAAAAACAAAGCAGGACCCCTTTACATGACCTTTTTTTCCTGGTCATGTATAAGTAGTAGTTTTTTTCAACTGAATGTATCATTCATCAACATTTCTCGCAGTGGAAAATGTAAAAATGGCTGTCTCTTCAGTGTGCTGTTCAACACTTTGTCTGACACCTACCCTGCGGCAATAGTTTGGAATATTAAAAATGACGATATAGAAATGGTCGACCTTTATACTGATAGTCTCGTTTGCCTTTTTAGGTCGTACAAAGGCGTCTGTAGTAATTTCAGCGTGTTTTATAACCAGACAAATGGGAGCTCATGGGAGCTTTAAACTTACATTTACAGTGGACTTGGAAACCTTAGTCTGTACCCATGATGGATTTAAAAACTTACATTTACAGTGGACTTGGAAACCTTAGTCTGTCCCCATGATGGATGTAAATCTCCTTTCTCTTAGCTCTGGTTTGGTCAGCTGAATCTGTGAAGAAAAAAAAAATGATTAACAGCTTTTTATTCCACTTTCTCCATCAAGTAGTTACTAAGTTAGTCCGTCTGTCACTGTGAGCTTGGCAGGGAGTGTTTGGAGAGTGATTAGTGGAGCTTTAACTGGTCTCAAACAATCAAACATGGAATCAAAGAATGCGGCTTCCCTCCGATGTGTTTTGGCACCACAAACCATTCTGCCAGCGTTAACAATCAAAAAACAATCACACACTCATGAATGTCTATGAATTTCAGCTTAGCGTAGAGGCAATAAAAGGAATCCCAGGACAATGTGCAGATGTTTGCAGGCTCATTAGGATGTCACTAGAACGGCTCAGTCTGGTGCTTTCAGTCATTAGCTAGAATTTATGCAGAGGCCAATCATCCAAAATCATAAACTTCCACTCCTTCTAGCACAATCACTGAGCCGAGCACTCCGTAAATTTAAACTCAACATTTTGTCCCCCTGAAAGGTATTTGGCAGTCTTTTTAAGTTCTCATTAAATGTGCTTATTCTATTTTATTTTCAACATTTCCTAAAGAGCTATATTCTCTCCACCGAGGAACAAAAAAAAAAAAAAAATTGTGATTAACTGAATACCGTATTTTCCCAGCGCTGCGTCTTGGGGCTATACAGCGTTTAGTCACTTCTGCTGAGCTTTAATTAAAGCAAAAATGAGGATCCAGAAAAAGCACCAAGGGATAAAGCTACAGGACAAATTCACAGCTGAAAAATGAAACCGTCCAATGCTAAATAAAGGTGTTTAAGATGAGCTACATTTTGAAGCAGCTTTGGCATTCGGGCCTTAACATTACTGTTATTCTAAGCCCTCCATTTGTCTTCATGGACTACTGACCCAGTTTAGTTTTGGCCTCAATTTTTGGGTTCCTCTGAAGGTTCAGTCACAACTTTGTCCCACTGGCCGATAGTCCTGGTGCTTCAACAACAAACCCTTTTAGGAGAGGAACGAAGAACATACAACAAAAAGATTGAGAATCAGGTGGATTGATGTTGCATAAAGGCAGACTTTTTTTTTTTTTTGTCACTTTTAGATGTTTAGGCAACCCTCCTACTCGGGCAGTGAGATCAGAGAACAGGGGAGGCGATGGAGGAGGATGAGTAAAATGAGGCCAGTGACACACAACAGGGGGTCCTCTGGCACCCTGCACATGAACAGCTCATGCCAGGAGAGGGGCATCTCTCAAAGCTCTCAACAGGAGCCAGTGCTGCTCTGGTGGCCAAACAGCGCGTGTGAATGCGCATGCATGAGTGTGTTTGCAGTGCAGTCGTGCAGTGCTGCTGCCTGCATCCATAATTAAGCCCCAGACACAACCATCAACAGGAATATAATTGGCTAGTGGGAGTGAAAGGAGGGGGTGGGGGCGAGTGCTGCAAACTTTTGAGATAGAGAGAGAGAGAGAAAGAAGTAGAAGTTTGAGAGAAAGCCATTTACATGCTAATGCCGTCCTCAGCCCTTCAGCTGCCTTGTCGGGTACCTCGCCCGTCACCCACCAATGAGCTCTTGGCTGGCGAGCCGGTCGCCATGTTTACACAATAAACAAACAGCAATGAGGTTAAAGTCTTTTTCATGCATCTTTTTGTGCATGCCTACAGTATTAGCAACAGTCAGTCGTTGCGTAACTGTTTTGTAGCGTCTGAAGGACTCAGCTGACTGCTTTTTCGGCCTCTTTGTCATCCCTGTTTTTTTTTTCTTCTCCTTCTTCTTCTTGTTTTTGTTTCCTAGGCGACAGAATGGGCACCGGACGAGGAAACCAGGAGGTCCTGTCAGAGCAAAGGCAAAACAGAGGTAACCCCGAGCCCGCCCCCCAATTACAACACTTCATGTGGGTGCTGCCTGGCTCACAGAGAGGCCATCTTGATATGTTCAGGCTCTGGAAGGTCCTTATGGGCCTCATGGAAGGGTTCTGCACAGGACAGCTATTTCAGACCCTTCAATCTGGTTGTTTTTCCTAGCAGTGAAGAGAAGAGGGCAAAGGGGCAAAGAGGAAAACATGTACAAAAAAAGAGAGTAGGGCAAGAGAGTCATACACACAAAAGGACTTCCAGCATAACCAACGCTGTTATCAGCTGTCACACTTTGATTATTTTGTGAAAAATTGTTGCGGCATCATTTTTTTTTTTTTTTATCTCCCAACGCTTACAGAAAAAAGGTTGAAACCTAATAAGACAATCAATCCTCTTTCAAACCTGTGTCACTGCAATTACCTCAGTTCTTTTTTACACAACACAAAGCGTCAGCATTTACAACAAAAAAAAGATAAGAGCATAAAATGTTCCATTACCAATAAATCTATCTCTCATCTTTGGTAAGAAAAGATTTGACTCTTTTTTTTTTTTTTTTTACTCAAAGAAATTCTTGACTTATTATGGAGTCACCGTCTGTCACAAATACGTCTCGATTGAGCGTCTTAAAGGATTCTTATTTTTAAACAATGCACTTAACAAGAGCAACACCAGCAGACATTTAATTACTCTGCTTTTTGGTTGCAGGCCAGTTTTGATACCAGAGAACGTTTTGTATATTTAGCCTCAGCTTTCCTCTGCTCTACTGTAACTTTCTGAAAGGTTTTTTTTTTTTGTTTTGTTCACCCTCTTCTCTGCAGATTGAATGTCAGAACTACATCAGAGTTCTGCTGGTGAACAAGACTGAGGTCATGACTTGTGGCACCAACGCTTTCCAGCCCCTTTGTATAACCCGAGAGGTACAGAAAACCATGTGTTTGCAATTCTGTAGTAATTCAGCAAAAAAAAAAAAGCCTTAAACTCCTTTCCTCTCTCTTCCCTGCAGGTGGGAAACATGAGCCGCACGATGGAGCGGGTGAACGGCGTGGCGCGCTGCCCGTACGACCCGCGTCACAACTCCACAGCGGTTGTGACGGAGAGCGGAGAGCTCTACGCTGCCACCGTCATCGACTTCTCCGGCCGTGACCCCGTCATTTACCGCAGCATGGGCGGGATGCCACCTCTCCGGACGGCGCAGTACAACTCCAAATGGCTCAATGGTACAGTGCAACAGCAAGATCTACACAGCATGAGGCGCTGATTTGTTTGTTGTGTATTTATTTTAGCAGGTTAACAATGACTCCTCTCACCTGTCTGATGACTCAGTGGTTGATTGGGGAGTCAAAGGAAGGCACTGGCTGATGCACTTTCGTCTTAAGTTCTGCTTTCTTGATTATCCCATTAATTTAAAAAGAGCAAAATTGAATATATCTTTACCCATTAATGAGGATTATTTTTCAATTAACTGGCAAACAGCTCTCATGAGTCCCCAGAGTCCAACATGAAGCTTTTAATCTGCTTGATTTTTTTTCTCCAAGAGCCCTAAACTCCTAAATATGAAAGAAACAAAGAGAAATGATCAAACCGAGAATAGCGGCAAATCTTCCACCATCTTCAGCTCAAACCAGCACATTTAAAAACATTGCTTCTCAATGATAAATTATGACTAAATCGAGCCAGATGAGTTGGTTTCAGAGAGTTTTTAAACACAAAGTAAAGTGATATTTGCAGAAAAACTGGCAAAGGGACGCACACTTCCCTTGGTTTCTAGGTGTATCTTTGTTGAGCGTTCAACAGGGTCACTGTTTCATCTAAGGCGTGAGAAATCTAATATAACAGGATTAGTAATCTGATCGGGCCATAACTCTCGCTGGATCCCCAAATAATCCGCACAAGGTTAAATAGTGGGCTAAATTCTTGTGTCAAACAATCTCTGTTTCTTTAAACATTTTCCTGAGCACTGCCTGGAGGTGCAGATGGGCCAAGTGTGCACTTTCGCTTCCAACACAATCACCTCTTTTGTTCCCCGCCAAGTTAGATCAATCTGACAGGGGTGTTTTCAAAGGATTACAAAGACTGTTTGGATTTGGAGTTGTGCGTGGTACACACACACGGTACAGGTCAGGCATAGGAATTGATGGGATTTATAGAATGGGGGAGAACATGAAATGCTGTCAATCCTGATGGTGTCGGTGTCAATAATCTCCCTGCTGCTGACACCGGGTCTTTTTCCTCTGAACACGCCGCAGCAGAAATCCATTCACTCGCATCCTGACTCCAGCAGAAATGTAGATGGACTCTCCGCGGTCATGTAACTGCTTTTGATAGGCAGAAACGCTTAGATTAATGGATTCATGAAAGTATAAAGGTAGGCAAAAGCGGAGGAGGAGTTATTTTTCAACATCTATTGTCCTGGAAGTAAAAGTCAGATTCATTTTCTGCAGCATGGACAATGTTAGCTGACTGACAAAGCACTTTAAGACCTGGATGGACATGAATCTCTTCTTTGTGAATTATCTGTACAAAAGAAGGTCACATTTGTTGGAAGTCATCTGGTTCTGCTAAAAGATGGTTGTTCAGGCTATTGCATCACATTGGTTACTTTAAACGCCTCTTCAAGTCACTCATGTTCTACTTTTTTTTTTTTTGGAGCTTTTTGTGCCTTTAATGGAGAGATAGGACAGTGGATAGAGTTGGAAATCAGGGACAGAGAGGGAGAGGGGAATGACATGCGGGAAAGGAGCCACAGGCGAGACTCGAACCTTTAAAGACCACAGCCTCCATACATGGGGCGCGCGCACCAACCACTGCTCCACCAGCACCCCGACATATTCTACTTTAATGACATGACATGCATGGACAAAGTCAGAGAAAGAAAGTTAAATATTTCTTATGAATTAAATACGAAGAGGTCAAGAAGCTGCAGCGACACTCGTAGTATGAAGACCAACTTTAACTTTAACTTGTTTCAGCTGTTTCAGCTTGTGGTCTTCATCAGGGTCATCCAGGGTGTGCCAGAAAACTCTACGCTCTGCTTCTTAAGAATTACATTTGAAATCTCTCAAAAGTCCAACGATTTAGCCAACAAAATATCTTCGAGCAGAACTATGAAGTGTTTCTGCAGTAGCTATAGTGTTGTTAGAAGAAATGTTACAAAGACATTTTTTTTTGATGAAATGGAAATTTAGAGGATTCATTTTGATCATCACGATCATAAAAATGGTCAAGGTTATGTTCAAAACTAAATATTCCTATTTCCAATGAAATGAAAGAGTAAAACATTTAATCAGAACTTTCTAAATGCTCTAAATGGTAAATTGTATCCTTGTTTTTAAGTTCAATTAGATTAGAATACATTAAAACACTTTATTAATCTCCAGTGAGGAAACTGATCAATTACTCATCATATTTTAATTGTCAGACATTTGTTTTAATCAATCAGCACTAAATATAACAAGTGAATACAGATTTTAATGTGATGCAGTCTGTACTCATCCAATAACTACACACTCAGAATATTCTTCCTGAAGTCTAGCGATTAAAATGCTAGAAATTCTTGCTCACCTTTTACAGTGATGTCTGGTGAAGTTTACGTACGTATCACAGTCAACTTTTGCAAAGTTGTTCACAGGCCAGACCGGCTAGAAGTGCTGCGTAAGACAGAACAGCTTTAGTCCTGAGTGAGGACTCCAAACCAGCTCGCTTTGCTGCCTCCCTCAGAACATTCATCGACATTTTATTACACATTCATTTGGCTTGTTGTGCAGTGAAGACTAAATGGAGAAATATGCATGTATTGGTATTGACATGCCAACTAAAGGATCAAAATATATACGTCTGCAACAATCAGAAATTGTGCATCTCTCATATTCACCTATACCAGGTCAGATATAATATAATTAAAGTATGTTTTGATAAAGTTGGACTGTGGAGAGCAGGACAGCAAAGAAGGAGTATGGGAGGAAGCTAGACTTCAAGGAGTGCTGGAGAGTGGACGTTGGGAGTATGTATAGGTGTGTGTGTGTGTGTGTGTGTGTCTCTGTGTGTGTGTGGCGAAGGAGAAGGGATGAGAGTGTCGCGGGGCAGGGAGGAAGATGAGGATGAGAGGAAAGCAGAGGAGATAGACTGAGGAGTCAGTGAGCGATGTAATTATTCCTCACGGCAGGAGAGGGTGAAATTACAACACACAGCATGCTTCACACAACGCAGGTCTCTGCCTGCGTGTGAGTGTGTGTGTTTGTGTGTGTTTATATATGTACTTAGACTGTATGCATGCTGCACATGCTTCACTGTGTGTCAAAATTAGGAGTGGAAAAGCAACACACACACACACACACCAGGACGAGAGAATGTGGGAGGGAGAAAGATGAGTAGCAGAGCAGAGAGTGGTCCTCATCAGCATAATCACAACCGGCTGCACACACATTCACACACACACATGTTGCTGCAAACACATTTACACACACACACACACACACACACACACACACACACACACACACACACACATATCCATGCCATCACAGACAAAGCCTGCGCTGCTCTGTAGCGTCTGTGAGGGTTATGGAGTTTTGTGCCCGGTGGATTCAGAGTGTGAATGAAATTCTCATTTCCAGCTCTAAGCCTCTCCGGTTCAGGAGAAGTGGAGGAGGAGGGGGGGGGGGGGGGGGGGGGGAGGAGGGGGAGTAGATCTAATCAATCTTTTGTCTTATTGGATTGGTGGCCTGCCAGGCACCGGGCAACTGTGTACCATCGTGTGAATGAACGACATATGGAGCTGTACATTTCGCCTGTGAAACAATCTAAACAATTTCTCTGTGCTTCCCACAAAGACTTCATAAATAACAACATATTTATCTCCAGTAGATATCTAGTCGCTCTCATCCTCCTCTCAGTTTACATAGAACGTGGATTTAGCCCTTATAAGTCAGAAGAATTGAGCTAAAGTAGCCAATTCTCTTCATAAAAATACACTAACACGCACAAACAGTTGATGTATCAACCTGTCTCAGAGTTTTATCTCAGGCTTTTATAGAGCTTTCTTTTTCTTTTTTTGAGCTGTATCACTCTCAGTTGTAAAGGCTCTTTTCCTTGATTGAAGTGTGTCTGTCGAGAGTGAAAAAAAGAGATGCTTTTAAGGTTTTGTTTGGCATCTCAAAGTACCTGCTTAAAGCCGGGGGAATGTCGTCTCAGGAGGTTGACGTTATCTTGAAAAAGAGTTTGGATGAGCTGAAATGTTCAGTGATCAATTCTGACATTCTTGTCCAGAATCACAGAACCCATCAGCTATATATTTACAGCAATTTAGCATTATGTGTAACACCAACTGTGCAGCTGATTTTCAGGGAAAGAGTTTCTTTTTGTTGAACTAGCGTCTTGAATTGTGAGATTTGAGTGTAAATTGAGAGGAAAGAAATAGTCAACGAGATAAATGCAAATAAAAAAAAGGGGGGGGGGGGGGTTGAAGGCATGGTGGTTGGATGATGTGGTCCTCCGAGCGGGCGGCCCTTGTTCTGGTCCGACCTGTGGCTCTTTTCCCGCATGTCATTCCTCATCCTCTCTCTCCCTGATTTATGACTCTGTCCACTTTCCTCTCTCTTCCATCAAGGCACAAGAAAGCCCCAAAAAATAAATCTTAAAAGACTTTTAAAAAAAATCAATAAAAATGGGGAACAAAAGATGAATTACCGTCAGATGGACTTGATTTATGAAATTGCAATTTGGGTAATGGGCTCAACCTTTTTTCACACAAGCATGCGTTCAAAGACAGCTCAACTGTGATTGGTCAATCCTTCGGATTCCAAATCTCAACACTCAACTCAGGACTTTTTATTTAAGATTATCTAAACCTTTACTCAATGTTAACCCGGCAGTAGGGCAGGGTAAACCTAGATCTCCAGTGTTGAACTCCTGTGGTTTTAGTCATCTCTGTGGACTGCACGGCAAAAGACCAGACACTGATGACGGTGAAGTGAAATCAAGTATAGCAGATTTGTTTTAAATTACCCACGATCACAAATGACAAATTAGCCTCTAGAGACTTTACAGCCGTCTTTCCTCAGGCCCTCGATTTCAAAGACTCAAATCTCCCCAAACAGCAGACAGACATGCAACAGATGGTGCTCGCAAAGAATAGACAAACATCCCCAAAATTACAGTAATCCAGGCAGATCTGCCAATTCTCTCGTTCTTTTTAAGTATTTGACGAGGCTCAAGCGTCCCACACTCAATACATTTTGCCAGCTTGCGTAACGCCATTCAAAACCCTTTTAAGGACAAATGGTAGGAAAGTCTAAAATACCAAATAAATGAGAATTAAAAAGTTTAAAAAAGTGCCTCATGTATCAGCAAGCTCCACAGCCCAGCCCATCCTCCATCATTAATAGATCGTTTCTACATTCCTGCAGACTCTGTTTGTGTAAATATGAACTAGCCTTGCTCTTGTGTTTGATCTGAAGCGTCATGTGATGTTAGCGATGGCAGATTCACTCTTCCAGCTCCCGACCACCCTGCCAGCACCAACAATCTGTTTACCACTCAGTGGGGGGGGATGCTGGGAAAAAGAAAAAAAAAACCACCTCTATTCGTCACATTTTTTTTTTTCCACCCACACTGCCTCGGTAATGTTATGCACAATGTGTCAGCTCCACCTGCCCTCTGCCTGACACTCATACAGTATGCATAAACACAGGTACGTAAACACAGGAAGACTCTGGAGAGAGTCCACAAAACAGCTCAGACATGCTGGAAACACACACACATGATTCATTTCAATACACAACTGTTTCATGTAATAACACAATTAGCTCCTTCTAATGGCCTGTAGCACCTAATGCGTTGTGATTCTCTTCAGTCTTGACAGTGACCCAACATGCCTGACCCTGGTCGCTGGTTCTGCTGCGTGCCTGTTAGCAACAATTACCCCTCTGATTAGGGACATACTGTACGATACAGCAAGCAGCCAGACGAGTTGTATTCAGTCACAGACATTAATATTACCTTTGGGTGTCGTGCCTAATTACTATAATAATCATATAACAATTATACTAATTAATCTGCTGTTTGCTCTATTTTCTTTCATCAGATTTGAGCTCGTTAAGCCTTTGATTATAAAACCCATATCGAGGATGCACTCATGAGAACACCACTTCATTAAGTGCAAACTGGAAACGTTGATTAGAGCTCTAATGTAGGCACAACTGCCGTCCCAGTTTGACCAGTCTTTACAGGGATTCATGGCTCTCGCGTGAAAGCTAATCAAATATTTAAAGAGGACTTAAAAAAACTGCAAATATTCACAAAACAACCACAAGAAGACGGCAAATGATCCAAACAGGACACAAAACGACCAAATGTAGAAACAAAAATGTGATCCAAAAGAACTAAGTAAAGGGGCGCCGGATGGCCTAGGTGGTTATGTTGCGTGCCCAACGTACAGAGGCAACAGTCCTTGTCCCAACGGCTGTGGGTTCGAGTCCGACCTCAGCACTTTGCTGCATGTCGCCCCCCCCCAACCTCTCCTCACAACATTTCCTGTCTCTCTTCAGCTGTCCTTTCCAATAAAGATAACAATTGCCCAAATGAAGATCTTCAAATTAAAAAAACAAAAACTGATGAAGACACAAAATTATCTAATAGAGACACAAAAGACAACAAAAAAAACATTAGGGGGAAATAGAAAAAACTACCACAAAGACCTCAAACGGCCACATAGGAGAGTTAAGAGAGTTACAAAAAGAGTTAAAAACGAACAACGAGAGAATCAAGTCAACAACAGAGAGGTGCAAAACAACCAGGAGACACAAAAACATCAACAAGACACCGAGAGCGACTGAAAAGAGACACATTACTCCCACATAGTTCTTGATAAATTAATGGAATATACGTCTGTGTATTGTGTTTTATTTTGAAATTGACCGGATGCTTTGTGCGTTTCCTTGTCTGACTTCCTGTCTGGGTGCTTTACTGCTTTACTGTTCAGCTTGACGCGTGTTTGCGCGGGCTCTGTCTGCGGAGTAGAGCGGAGTGACGCTGCTGGCACGCCCCTTGATGTGGAAACAGGGGCATTGAATAGAGTAGCGGTGAACGGTGCCAACCGCGCCGCGCTAATGGACCTTGTCGCTTATACGGTGTTGTGAGCCTTTAACATGTCACAGGTTTCATGATGTCTGCTTGCCTTTAGAAACATGCAGAATAACTAGGACTGTTTTTTACACTGTTCCCTTTAATATAAAACTTGTATTTTTTTCTTTAAAGTGTCCTTTTCACCACAAGTTCTTTCTGTTTTTCTAACATCGATGTGAAATAGAATCAGGGGTTTTGCTGTAGCTGAGTTTACGGCAGTTTTGTCTTTCTCCGCTCCATTTCAAATGTTATTCTCCTTTTAAAAGCCTCATGAGCCCCTGAGGCACATTCAGTCATGGCTGTTAACAGGTCATCTCCGCTGTGTGTGTGTGTGTGTGTGTGTGTGTGTGTGTGTGTGTGTGTGTGTGTGTGTGTGTGTGTGTGTGTGTGTGTGTGTGTGTGTGTGTGTGTGTGTGTGTGTGTGTGTGTGTGTGTGTGTGTGTGTGTGTGTGTGTGTGTGTGTGTGTGTGTGTGTGTCAACAGATCTCTCCTGCTTTTCTTTTTTGTTTATGGTCTGCAGGCATCTGCAAATTAAGGTTTATTCCTCTGTTTGTGTTAGTGTGCTGTTGTGTGTGTGTGTGTGTGTGTGTGTGTGTGTGTGTGTGTGTGTGTGTGTGTGTGTGTGTGTGTGTGTGTGTGCATTATCACTTACAATAAATGGGTCCCGGTGGGAAACAGAAGCGACAGCAGCAGAGGAGTGTTTTCTCTCTTTTATCATTTCTCTGCACAAGTAGGACTCGTCCTAAAGAAGAAACACACAGCAGCAGAAAACAAAAGTTCCCTGTGATGAAGGAACAGGAAGTAATTGTTAAAACAGCATCAGGAGTCTTCCTTTTTAAGACATTTTAAACTCACTTAATAAAGCAGAAACTTCGCTTGAAGGTCGTTATTTTATGAAAACTACAACAAGGATCTGAGATCGATGAGCCAAGCTTCATTGAGTGACAACTCTTCTACCTTTTAAAACGATCTTAGTATTTGAATTATACTTATTATACTTTTTAAACCTCCTTCCAAGAGATCATATACAAATGTTCCCGTCCTATATCCCTGACCTCGTCAACTGGCAGCCCCTTCATCCCATAATGCAGAGAGGGACGGATCAGCCGAGGATTATTTATACATTTTCTGATCAGCTGATCACCAGAGCAGGGAGAGAGGGGACGTGGTAGAGAGGGAGTGACTAAGAGATCGAATAAGCTGAGCTCCATTTGTCGGAATGACAAACAGGAATGTCTTTAAAGGTCGTGCAGAAAGCCAAAACTGTTCGCGTGATGATCAGACACTAATATAATTTGTAAATGTGATTTGAAGAATTAAAATAAATTGAACTATTAAGACATTACAAGTACTTATGAAACCCTAAAAAAAGCAGACGATCAATCAGACTTTGTGGTGATGGAGGAAAAACAAGGACTTCATGAGTTTGAGCTCTTTTTTTTCCCCCTCTGCACGCTCACAGAGATGAATAACTATTCTGTGATGAGTCATGTGTTTACGAAGGACGACAGTAACGTCCCGTTCAAACTGTTTTTTCGGCCGCTTTGTGTGATAACCGACTGAGCGAGGAGGGCCATTAATAATTGGCTGTGTCACCCGAGGTAATAAAAGCAGCATGGGCGTCCTGTTGAACAGACAGAGCTCCATGGATTTACCATCAAAACATCACACGGATTTATTAGTAAGCATTTTTTATCTCCTCTGCTCATCCTCCTCCTTCTCCTCCCACTTCTTCTTCTCTCATTTACACGTTTGACATTGACGCTCTTTTCCAGCACTTCTGAAACCGGAGGGCAGGAGAATGTTTAGGTCATTACTCCAATCAATAATCAGGAATAAAGAGGTCAAAGCTACAACAAGTGCTGCAGAAGATGAATGTTGCAAATATGTCTGTTTCCATAGAGCCTGCATGTAATGATCCATCTCTTCTTTCCCCCACCCCCGGGCAGAGCCCCACTTCATCTCCGCCTACGACATCGGCCTCTTCACCTTCTTCTTCCTGAGGGAGAACGCAGTGGAGCACGACTGCGGGAAGACGGTGTATTCCCGTGTGGCGAGGGTCTGCAAGAACGACATCGGCGGGCGATTTCTCCTGGAGGACACTTGGACCACTTTCATGAAAGCGAGGCTCAACTGCTCCCGCTCCGGGGAGATCCCCTTCTACTACAACGAGCTGCAGAGCACCTTCTACCTGCCCGAGCAAGACCTCATCTACGGCATCTTCACCACCAATGTGTGAGTGAACACAGCTGCATACCTCTCATATTCAAAAGATCATGTGGAAAAATCTTTTTAGTTGTACAGTTGATCTTGAAATGCACAAAATGCCGACCCCACTGAATCCTTCCATCACGCAGTTTCTTTTAACAAGTTGTTATAAATATATTCAGAGGTAGGCGGAAATGACTTACAGTAAAATTTTACTGTACCAAAGTGGAGTTATTGGATGTGTTTACTTTACTGTAATATTTTCAGTACAATACGATACGATACACTTAGAGCAGTGGTTCTTCACTGGTCGAGCCTCAGGACTCACCTCTAAGTCCTTTATGAAAACGTGTGGCCCAAATATTTTTTAGAATTTTTTTTAGAAAACTTCGAACATGTGACAGAACAAAGAAAAGGAACAAAACAAACATGTTTAAAAAGGGCTTCATAGTTGTCCAGGCACAAGTTCCCAACCCACTGGATATTGGATATTACCTGATACAATAGCTGTGTAGGTTCTCAGCCTTCCAGGTCATGGTAAATTCAAAGCTTGATCCAAAGGAAACTGGACTTGGTTAGAGATTTTGAAGACGTCTCACCTCTCCTCTCCTCTTCAGAACTAAAGAAGCCTTTCAGAGGAGAGGTGAAACGTCTTCAAGATCTCTAACCAAGCCCAGTTTCCTTTGGATCAAGCTTTGAATTTACTTGATGCAATAGCTGCGAAGTCAAATCTCTCACATCCAGCCATGTGGATGTGGATTTTGTTGTTGAATATTACGTTGCTGCACTCATTGCTCCTCCTGTTGAATGATTCTCTGCACTCTGCTACAGAGATGGGACAGCTGCATTTTGTTTTTTTGATTCATTCATAACTCTGACAAATAATCAGCCGCACAGCTGGAGCATTAAGCTGTCATTTTGGCAGGAGCAGATCAAGAAAAACTGCATCTTAAAGTTGGTCAAAAGATTTTAAAAAGTGGAAGTGTTGCAGTCGAGTCAGTGCAAGCATGAGTCCCGCAAAAAGAAGATCCAGGGACATATGATGAAACCACAAAAGAGACGAGTGCGGTTTGAGATATAGTGAACTATTTAACTGAACTAAAACACACCAAGCACATTAATTAATTGCTTTTTACTAGGAGTGTCTCCTGAATCAATCAAACTCACCGAAAAGCAAAGTACAAGGCTTCAAACTCTTTTCTTTAAACAGTACATTAGTTGTATTTACTCTCAAGAGTCATCCTCAACAGCTTGTTGTTAGTGTTCAGAAGGTCAGGTCAAGTTTTATTTTGTTATCCAACTATTTGTTTAAAAAAGCTGTTCAGCATGAGAACAAATGCACTCCTGCTTCCCTGTGAGTATTCTCTCTGAGAGAAGGGAGTAGATGTTGATTAAAATTCTTCATAACAAAAGGATCTGGTTCTGATATTCAACCCCGAGTCAGATTCCTCTGCGGTTTAAAAAATCTGCAAGAGAACAAAAGCACACAAAGAGATGAGCAAAAACCTTACAAAGTATCACTTAAAATATATTAAAGCTCGTCTGTGACCTTAGTAATTATTACTTCTGAGCAGTAATCTATTCAACACAGAAATGCTTTTTTTTATTTAAAGCCCTGAAAATTCACAAAGCGTACTTTTTATGGAAGCCCAATTCTGCCAGTAGAAGAAAAAGAAGATGAAGTATTCCCAAGGAATCCAAAGGATAAGAAGTCATACTTCTGACATTAAAGGTTGAAACTGGATGGCCAATCAAAACCTTTAGAGTAGATATTCTTAAAAATGAAATAAAAACGTCGGACTGAAGGGGTTAATGGTCTTAATTAGTGGAAACAGATTGAAACTCACAATCATGACATAAAGAAGTCAAAGTTATGAGATTAGTCAAAATATAGAGATAAAAGTGGAACAGAAACCTGATATTGAATCCAGTTTATGTTTGTGTGTTATCTCCGGTTTCAGTTAGCTTCAACCTCAACTTAGCAGAGGGAATACTTAGAAAAAGGTTTCAACTTTCCTGACATTTATCATTTAAATTAGACCAGTGTGTGTGTGTCTGTGTGTGTGTTTGTGTCTGTGTGGGTGGTGATGAAACGACTGTGGGGAACAGTTCCTCTCTTTGCCTCTGGCTGTATTTAGAGTGACACAGAATCTAACACAAATGCAAACCTTCATCTCGACGTCACACAGGAGTCTTTAACATCTGTGGAGACATTTACAAAAAGTAAAAATGATTGTAATGATGTTATTATCCATGCATTGCTCCTCAACATTGCCCTTCTGTTGAATAAAAAAAGAAGAAGAGGAACAACTCAACAAAAACAAGCTGTGCAGCTGTGCTCGAGAGCCCTTTCAACTCCAACGAGAATATTAATGGGGAAGAACTGTGACAAACACTTCAACTTCTTTTCATTCAGCCCTCACATTTCATCACTTTATAGGTTTCAGTACTCAGACACTTCCCACCTTTTACAGAAAGAGAGACAATTTTCCAGAGTTTGGAGCCTCCCCGCTGCTGCTAATGATCCGAGTGGATGCATGCAGCGCTCAGCCGCGCTGGAGGTACAGACCGCCTCACACTCCCTCTGGTGTTTGATTGCTCCAGGTGGGAGCGTAACACACTTCATGTGCAGTGCCGAGCTCTCGTTGGGCTTTTTTTTTTTTTTTATTATTATGGTTTAGAAAAGTGTAATTGCATCCCGTTTATTTTTTTTTCTGCCTTCCTAAAGGACAGCAGCATGAGTCACTCCGCTCTGTCCAATCTGTCCAACACCATAATCCAGAGCAAGATTCCAGGAAAGATAGAGCTGTTAATAATTACACTGCAGATTGCTTAGGAAATCTGTAAAAACATATTCATAGTCTCCGAAGGATTATTACTGATTATTTTTGGTGACTTCTTGACACTTTATCTAGACTCATCACCAGGTCGAAACGTCCCCCTTTAATATCTCTTTAGCCTCAGATGAATGGTGGAAAAAACAAACTGTAAGATGTACATTCACCACAATCATTTTTATATCGTGTGGTTCGATGACCCTTGCAGCCTCAAGCATCCATCAGCCAAGCCCTGGATTGAGAATCCACTGAGAAAATATATAGGAATAGGTTCACTTTGGGGAAATATAAATGCGCTTTCTCTCTGAGAGCTGTAATGAGAAGATCAATAACTGTGGAGTTAGGACGGACTGAATCCAAGGCTAAATTCCCCTTTTTAAATCAGAAAGAACTCTGGAAAGACAGTAAAGACTGGTGGGGTTAACATAAGAGCTGCAGGCCCTTTGTGCTTTTACATAGTTCTTTCTTAAGTCATCCATTTTTTTGTTCAGGCACGATCTCTGCCTCTCAGTTTATCAGATATATTAAAAAAAAACGTCTCTCTACCTGGCTAGACAATACGAGAGAAATGAGAAATGGAAGGAGGGAGGAAGAGAAATGAAAAGCCAGCTCAAAGCCAAACTAAGCCTGTATCGTTAAGAAATAGACTGATAATACTCACTCAGGGGATAAACAGCAGACTTCATGTGCTGCTGAATCCTGCAAAAACAGTTTCCACTGTCACAGGAATTGAGATATATTGCAAATTTGAAGTTTGATTTTTGTTGATCCTCTCCTGAGAAAAGCTTCATTGCAATTATATTTTCACAGTTTCTAATCTGCAAAGTCTGCAAAGCGTCTTCATGGACTGAATTAAGAGCATATGCCACGTTTTTGTGTAGGCACCGGGGGGGGGGGGGGTTCAAATCCGACCCGTTGGCTCCTTTCCCACATGTCATCTCTGCCTCTCTCTCTCCCTTATTTTCCGACTCTATCCACTGTCCTATCTCCACAATCAAGGCACAAAACTCCCAAACTTTACACTTTTAAGTCTGCGAAGTCAAATCTGGTGGTGTCAGATCTGCGACAAGTGTCTGCACAGCGTCTTCATGGACTGGAATGTGAGCATATGGTGCGTTTTTGTGTGGGCATCGGTCTATGTTTGTGTACATAGGCAGAAATAGTGTTTGGTATTCAGATGTATTCAGTGCTCTGTCAGGGGAGAGGCTGAATCCAGCCCCTCACCTTCTGCTCTCTCACCTGCTAAGCTGCCGGTTTTCACCACCACATGGCTGCTTTCCACGTGCCTGCAGCCATCTTTAGTGATAGAACGGAGAAAGAAAAGGGGAGTGAGAAATGGTGAAGGAGACAAAGAAGGGGAAAGCCAGGGGGGAGAAAGAGAGGAAATGAGGATCGGTAATGAGAAAAATCAGCACGCTCCAAGCTTTTGTCGCCGCCGTTCTTTGTCTCCTCCTTCCCTGCCCTTCGTTCTCTGAAGCAGCTCGTCGGCCGTCCCTCCAAAAACTGCCTCCCTCGCCGGGGCTGGATATGTTAATGCAATCACCACAAACACTGTCTCCATCTGTCTGGCCTAAATTGAACAGGCTCACAGCTGCTCCCTGGAGTTTGGAGCTGTAAAACAGAGCAGCAAGAGTTGGAACAGAGTACTTAACGTCTCAGTCGGCTCTCGGTCTGGTCCAGGTCTCGATGCTAAATGACCTCCCCTCCCTCTGTAGATGTAAGCTATGATGCTCTGTGACCGAGTAGGATGACGTCTCATGTATTGTATTCTCCCTCTGGTGTCTTCAGATTATCAAAAGAATCAACTTCCAAATGAACCCAAAACGTATTTTGATTATGAATTAAACGTTTGTAGTCGTCAATTTAGCAGAAAATGATTCCAGCTTGTCAAATGTGAGGAACTGCTGGTTTTCTGTGATTAAGAACAGTTCCACATATCTCCACACACTAAAGGCACAAAATGCCCCAAAAAAAAAACCAAAAGAAGACATTTTGCCCCTAAAATTTCCAAAGAAATGTGAGAATTTCTCTGCCCTCCATTTTTTTGTCTTGAAACCTGGACTCAAGCATTTTCAAATGTCACCTGTTAAATATGACCTCCTAACACTGCGTTTGTTTGAGTTGCTCTGCTGCCTAAATGCGCAACAACAAAAAGCAGGCAAACACAAACTTTGACAACGCTTTAACACG